TTTTTTTTTTTTTAATTGGAGTCCCACTCTGTCACCCAGGTTGGAGTGCAATGGTTCGCTGACAGTCACTGCCACCTCGACCTGCTGGGCTCAGGTGATCCTTCCGCCTCAGCCTTCCAATTAGCTGGTACTATAGGAGCACACCACCATGCTTGGCTACTTTTTTTGATGTATTGTAGGGACGAGGTCTCACCAAGTTGCCCAAGCTGGTCTTGAACTCCTGGGCTCAGGCAATCCTCTCACCTCCCTCCCAAAGTGCTGGGATTACAGGCATGAGCCACCATACCCAGCCTAGACTAAAGGTGGGAAAGGATCCCTTGGCTGCTGAGAGGAGGCAATAGGTTCTTTACCTTTAACCCCAAGCATCAAGCACAGGGTCAGGCATTGGTGGGGGTTCAGTGAACACCTGTTAAAAAAGACTGAACCACTGAGTGAGAACCATAATGCACACTTGTTTTGATACACTGTCTCAAGTGCTTCCAACTATCCTCTCAGGTCAGGCGTCACCACCCACAACCTAGACACGGAAAGTGAGGCCCACAGAGGTGCGACAACTTGACCAAGTTGACAGATGTGACTCAAATGCTTTGTATACCTTGTGGCCTTCAAATCACCTAACAACGATGGAAGCATGACCCTTAAAAATCTCCTGCCAACCCACATTCCCCTCCAGCTCCCACTGCCCACTGCCTGAGTCCCCTCACCAGCGGCCTTGGCACTCTTTGCTGCCATCTTGTTGGATACAGTGACCGAGATCTTGGAGGTGCTGGTGTCGGGCCGCCTGGGGGGAGTGCTGGGTGGGGAGTCACGGTTCAGGCTGTTGGCAATCATTCGGGAAGCGGCTGCAGGAGGGAAACGGGAGAGTCCGGCTGAGGTGGGAACCTGGGAGATCGGCCTGAATCCAGCAGTCTCAGGGCCAGGTTGGAGAAGGCCCTGGGACTGAATGAGGAAGGGTCAGCTGGTGGCTGCGCTATCCTTCTAACAAGATGCTTGGGGAGAGGTAGGCTTTACCTTCTCAGGATCTAGCCCATCTCTCCCTGCCCTGAGAGCCTTGCCTGAGGCCCTAGGCCAGATCAGTTCTTGTCACATCTCACCCATCAGTCACCCGGTCCTGTACTGAATTTGTCTCTCCCCTCCCCACCCTGTTTTAGACATGCTGATTTCCAGGACCTTCCTCACCCAGCAAGCAGATGCTGCCTCAGGGCACTTGCTGTTCCTTTGGCCCCGAATGCAGTTTCCCAAGTACCAGCGCATTTGCTGTGTCTAGTCATTCAGGTCTCCTCTCAGATGGCAGCGCCTGAGTCTTCCCTGACCACCCCATCAAAAACAAAGCAGCATCTCCTCACCCCTGCATCTCCCTTACCATACTGCCCTTTCTCTTTCCTCACAACCCTGATGATTCTTGACTTAAATCATATTTCTTTGTTTACTGGAGGACTCTCCCACAATAATTCAAGCTTCACCAGGAGGCCCACTGTGTGCTGAATGCTCAGCAACTACAGTGATTTCTGGCCCTTCACAGGCCCTTGATAAATGTCCCCTGGAAAGATGAACACTATCGCTGAAACTTCCCAACATCCCTATGAGATAGGATCAGCTACAAGACCATTTTATAGATGAGGAAGCTGAGACTCAGGGAGGAGAGTCCCTCAGCCAGGCCTCTAAGCAATGTGGGTCTGGCTGCAGTAGGGCTGGGGCAAGAAAAGGGGACATCCTTCTGGGGATGGGTGGCCAGTCTCTGGCAACCCTGTCCTCTGTGTAGCAAGAGGAGGGATGCCCCAGGGGCACAGGTGGAAACTACAGCATGCGCATGGCAGCGCCAGCCCCAGAGTGAGGGAGGAGGTGGGCCTTGTCTCAGGGTACAGTTGCTGCTAGCTTTAGGGTGTGGTTTTAGGGGCTCTTGGGGAACGCCTGCAGCGGCAGGGAGGCTCTTCATGCTACCATTATTTGTTAGCCAGACCCAGTAACCCCACCCAATCCCTCCTTCTGCCAACCAGCTTTCAGATTTCGTTTTTTAGAGACAGGGTCTCACTCTGCTGTCCAGGCTGGAGTGCAGTGGCACAGTCATAGCTCACTGCAGCCTCAAACTCCCGGGCCCAAGCAACCCTCCCACCTCAGGCACAACCAACCACATCTAGCTTCAAATTTGGGTATTTTGTCCCACCTGCCTTCCAAAAAGGTCTTCTTTTTTCTTCCTCTTCTCTCAAAGCCCCGTAAGTCCCTCATAATAACTTTCAACATATTATTATAATTACCAACTACTTGTTTGGTTTTTTGTTTGGTTTTTGTTGTTGTTGTTGTTTTCTGAGTTGGAGTCTCACTCTGTACTCACGGCCACCGCAGCCTCAACCTGCTGGGCTCAGGTGATCCTTCTGCCTCAGCCTTCCATGTAGCTGGAACTATAGGAGTGTGTGTGCCACCACACCACACTAATGTTTTGATTTATTGTAGAGACGAGATCTTGCCAAGTTGCTTAGGCTGGTCTTGTATCTCTGAGTTCAGGCAATTCTCTCTCTACCTCCCAAAGTGCTGGGATTATAGATGTGAGCCACCACGCCCAGCTTGCTTGTTTATTTTTCAATAATTATAGCTGGCTGGGCTTGGTGGCTCAGCCTGTAATTCCAGCACTTTGGGAGGCCGAGGCAACTGGATTGCCTGAGCCCGTGGGTTCGAGACCAGCCCAGGCAACTTGGCGAGACCTAATCTCTACAATAAATCAAAAATTACCTGGGCGTGATAGCTACTTGGAAAGCTGAGGCGGAAGGACTGCCAGAGCCCAGCAGGTTGATGCTGGGGCGACTGTGAGCATGCCACTGCACTCTGGCCTGAGCGATGGAGTGAGTCTCTAACTAAAAAAAAAAAAAAATAGAAAAAATAATAATAATTATTGCTAGAGCATGTAGAACATGACATCAAACCTACACAGACCATTTGGCAAAAGATGAACCCCAGGTATCCATCGCCCAGATCAGGCAACAGAGCATTACTGGTACCCAGAAGTCCTGGGACTGGTACTTTCCTATCAGACCTCCTCCCTGCCCCAGGAAGTAATGTTTGGCTTTCAGTCCTGCTTAACTTTCTCTTAATGACTTGGTATACATCCTTTGACAACTTTCCCAAGCTGTTTCTCCTGACAATCCTTAGACTGGATGGGGTGGCTTTATGACTGGTGCTTGCAAACTTTCTAGCTCCTATGAGAGCCTCCATTCCCAACACTCTTCACCTGCCCAAGTGCCACATGATCAGGGTTTTCTGCTACAAAAGGCAAGCAGTTGAGAGGCCCCTGCCTCTTGCACTAGACCCAGAGGGAACTGCGTTGCTTCAAAGAGGTCAGGAATGTGAGGCATTACTACCATGGCAGGGAAGCACCATGTGGATAGAGGCTAAACAGTCAACTCTGTCTTTGCTCTGCTGAGCATGAGCTGCAGTTAGGATGCCAGAGAACATCTTTTCCCCCTCCCGATACAGACACACACACTTCATATTCTAAAACGGATCTAAGTGAACATCTCAGGAATACTGTATTTGGAGCATTATTCCCCACCCCTTTCCTTCTTTGCCTGCTTCCCCTTTCTTTTTTTTAATTTTTAATTTCATTTATTTTTGAGTTGGGGGTCTCACTCTGTCACCCAGGTTGGAGTACAGTGACATGAGCACAGTTCACTACAGCCTCAATTTTCTGGGCTCAGCCAATCCTTCCACCTTAGCCTCCAGAGTAGCTGGGGACTACAGGTACATGCCACCATACCTGGCTAATTTTTTTTTTATTAGGCTGGCCATGGTGGCTCACACCTGTAATCCCAGCACTTTGGGAAGTAGAGGCAAAAGGATTGCCTGAGCCCAGGGATTCAAGACCAGCCTAGACAACATGGCAAGATCTCGTCTCTGCAATAAATCAAGAAAAATTGCCAGGCTCGGTGGCTCAGCCTGTAATCCTGTGCCTTGGGAGGCTGAGGTGAGTGGATTGCCTGAGCCCGCAGGTTCGAGACCCACCTGGGCAACTTGGCAAGACCTCATCTCTACAATAAATCAAAAAAATTAGCCGGGCTTGGTAGCGCGCGCCTGTAGTTCCAGCTACTTGGAAGGCTGAGGCGGAAGGATCGCTGGAGTCCAGCAGGTTGAGGTTGCGGTGGCCGGGAACAGCCACTGCACTCTAGTCTGGGCGACAGAGTGAGACTCCAACTCAAAAAAAAAAAAAAAAAAAAATTAGCCGGGCATGGTGGTGCATGCCTGTAGTTCCAGCTACTTGGAAGGCCATATATACATATATATACATATATTCCCCCATCCCTTTAAAGAGAGACAGGGCCTAGCTATATTGCCCAAGCTGGTCTCAAACTCCTGGCCTCAACTGATCCTCCTGCCTCAGCTTCCCAAAGTACTGGGATTACAGTCATGAGCCAGTGGATCCAGCTCCCTTCTCTTCTTTTTTTTTGAGGCTCAGGCAATCCTTCTGCCTCAGGGGAGCCTTCTGCCTCAGACTTCCAAGTAACTGGAACTACAGGTGTGCACCACCACGCTCAGTTAATTTTTGGGTTTATTGTAGAGACAAGGTCTTACCAAGTTGCCCAGGTTGGTCTCGAACCCCTGGGCTCAGGCAATCCTCTCGCCTCTGCCTTCTAAAATGCTGGGATTACATGTGTGAGTTAGCCATTGCGCCTAGCTCCCTTATCTTCTTTTTTTTTTTTTCTTTTTTTTTTTTGAGTTGGAGTCTCACTCTGTCGCCCAGACTGGAGTGCAGCCTCGCTGCTGGGCTCGGGCCATCCTTCCACCTCAGCCTTCCGAGTAGCCGGAATTACAGGCGCGCGCTACCACGCCCGGCTAATTTTTTTATTTTACTGTAGAGATGAGGTCTCACCTGCCCAGGCGGGTCTCGAACCCGCGGGCTCAGGCAATCCACTCACCTCAGCCTCCCAAAGGCGCAGGATTACAGGCTGAGCCACCGAGCCCGGCTCTTCTTAATTGCCCACTTTCTCCACTAGTTTTTTTGGGTGTTTTAACTTACTAAACGTATTTAGAACTATCAAAGACATTCAGAAAAGTATGCAAATCTCATTTTAAAGATCTGAAAGACTGATAAGACTATTCTGTGCTATTAGAGATCAGAATAGTGGGTACCCTGGCAAAGGTATGATGACCAGGAGGAGGCACAAGGGGGATTGTGGCAAGTTGGTCATGTTTCCATTTCTGGATTTGGATGTCAGCTACACAGGGGTCCCATCTGTGAAAGTAATCAAACTGTACCATTATGACTGAACCCTTTTCTGCACATATATTGTGGGGGACTGTTGTAAAAAGGAACCTTTATTTGTTTAGCCATCCTGCATCCACACCTTTGGGAAGGCCCTGTCCACAATGACTCTGGGCTAAGCCCATGTGACTCGCTTTGGCCAATGGGACAAGAGCAAATGTTATGCAAGCAGAGGCTTAAGAGACATGCTGAGCATTGGGACCTGCTCACCTATGCTGCTTTTGGGAACCCTGCAACTACTACTGTGTGAACAAGCCCAGGCTATTCTGCCGGATAACAAGAGTCACTGGTCAAGTCATCCCTTTTGCCCAGATGACATCAAGCCAACCATCAGATATGTGAAAGAGGCCATCAACTCAGCCTCAATCTAGCTGCCAGTGACCACTGAGGTCAGCTGAGCTGTCCCAGAAAAGATTAACCAATCCATTAACATCATAAGAAATAAATGGCTGTGTGTTAGCCAGGCACAGTGACATGCACCTGTACAGGCCAGGGGCAGTGGCTCATGCCTGTAATCCCACCACAATGGGAGGCTGAGATGGGAGGATCGCTTGAGCCCAAGAGGTCGAGGCTGCAGTGAGCTATAATCATGCCGCTATACTCCAGCCCAAGTGACAGAGCAAATTAATAAATAATAAATTTAAAAGGTATCATACTGTTTAAAGCAGAAGTAGCTAGGCACAGAGGCTCACGCCTATAATCCCAGTACTTTAGGAGATGGAGGCGAGAGGTTTGCCTGAGTCCAGGGGTTCAAGACCAGCCTGGACAACTTGGCAAGACCTTATCTCTACAATAAATTTTAAAAAATTAGCAGGGCATGGTGGTGTACACCTGTGGTTCCAGCTACTTAGAAGGCTGAGGCAGAAGGATCACCTGAGCCCAGCAGGTTGAGGCTGCATTGGCTGTGAGCATGCCACTGCACTCCAGCCTGGGTGACAGAATGAGACTTTTAAAAAAAAAAAAAAAGCGGGCCGGACTCAGTGGCTCAGCCTGTAATCCCGCGCCTTTGGGAGGCTGAGATGAGTGGATTGCCTGAGCCCGCGGGTTCGAGACCCACCTGGGCAGCAAGACCTCATCTCTACAATAAATGAAATTAAAAAAAAAATCAGCCGGGCGTGGTAGCGCATGCCTGTAATTCCGGCTACTCAGAAGGCTGAGGCAGAAGGATCACCGGAGCCCAGCAGGTCGAGGCTGCGGTGGCCGGGAGCAGCCACTGCACTCCAGTCTGGGTGACAGAGTGAGACTCCAACTCAAAAAAAAAAAAAAAAAAAAGCATAAGTATACAGTCAATAGTTATCACTCACAGATTCCATATTTGTAAATTTGCCTACTCACTAAGATGTATTGTAACCCAAAATCAATACAAGCAACACTTTTACAGTCATTCGCAGACATGCTCAAGAAAAGTCTGTCACCCCATACACAATGTTCCCAGCTGGGGTCAAACAAGGCACTGCTGCCTTCTTAGTTCAGCTCCCACACTGTAAACAAGTACCCTTTTCCCAGTCTACTTAATGCCATGAATGTGCAGTTTTGTACTTTTTGTTAGTGATTTTGCTGTTTAAAATGGCCCCCAAGGCATAGTGCTGACATGCTGTCTAGGTTGCCCAAGAGCAAGAAGGCTATGCTGTACCTTATAGAGAAAAGGTGTATGTTAGATAAGTTTTGTGCAGGAATGAGCTGCAGTGTTGCTGACTGTGAGGTCCATGTTTATGAATCAACAACAGATATTAAAAAAGGTATCATTAAAGGGAAACACATTGACCAATTGAAGAAGATGCTATGACCACAGGCTTGCAGGAACCTAACCCAGTACTTCCTGTAGGGCAGATTCTCCATTGCTCTACATTTCTCCCAGGAGCTAATAATTCACTACAGAACATACTGTGGTGACTTTATAGTGGGTGAGAACTGACTGTGTATAGCCAGTCTCTACCCAGTTCATTTTTTTCCCTAAGAGAAAAGGGCCTCAGATGGCTTTGTTTCCACCTCTGCAAACTATAAGAGTGATGGGACAATCAGATGTGTCCCCATCCTGACAGAGAGTAAGCCCGAAGGGAAGGACGCATGAATAGATGGGACTCACCACTGGCAGTGCCACGGCGGATCTCGGCTGGGAGGGGGCTGGGGCCACAGGGCACTGACTCAGTAGCAGCTTTGCACATGTCCTGTAAACAATGGACATGAGTTAGCACAGCTGAATCAGAGACCTAGAGATTTGAGCAATACCAGGAGGATCCGAACCTGACTGCCAGAGATTTTAAAACACTTCACTTCTAATCATGAGAAAGCATCTGACACGTCCAAACTGAAGAACAACCTACAAAATATCAGATCAGTACTCTGCAAAATTGTCAAGGTCATCTAAAAACAAAGAAAGACTGAAATGCACATACCAAGAAACTAAAGAGACACAAGTAAATGCAAGGTAGTATCCTGGATTGGATCTTGGAATAAATCATTGGTTAAAAAAAAAAAAACAGGGTCGGGCATGATGGCTCACACCTGTAATCTCAGCACTTTGGGGGGTGGAGGCGAGATGATTACCTGCATCCAGGAGTTTGAGACCAGCCTGACCAACTTGGTGAGAGCTCATCTCTATAATAAATCAAAAAATTAGCCAGGTGTGGTGGCACATGCCTGTGGTTTCAGCTACTTGAAAGGCTGAGGCAGAAGGATCACCTGAGCCCAGCAGGTTGAGGCTGCAGTGGCCGTGAGCGTGCCACTGTACTCCAGCCTGGGCGACAGAGTGAGAATCTGACTCAAAAAAAAAAGAAAAGAAGAAAAAGAAAAAGAAAAACAGATGAAATCCACAGTCAAAAAAAGAAAAAAAAAGGAGAGAGAGCCTGATGTAGTGGCTCACGCCTGTAATCCTAGCACTTTGGAAGCCAAAGTGGGAGGATTACTTGAGGTCAGGGGTTCGAGACTAGCCTAGCATAGCAAGCCCCTATCTCTTTAAAAAAAAAAAAAAGAAAGAAAGAAATCCAGTCTGTAGTGTACTAATGTTAAACTTTTAGTTTTAACAAATGTACCATGGCCATATAAGATGTTAATACAGCAGAAGTTTGGTGAAAGAGATACAGAAGCCTTCCATATTGTTGTTTGAACTTTTTTATAAATCTGAAATTATCCCCAAATTTAAAAGTTTACAGGACTGGGCAGTAGCCCAAGTATATAACCCCAGCACTTTGGAAGGCCAAGGCGAGAGGATTGCTTGAGCCCAGGAGCTCAAGACTAGCCGGAATAACATAGTGAGACCTCATCTCTACCAAAAACAAAAACAAAAACGCAGGTATGGTGGCACACGCCTGTAGTCCCAGTTACTTGGGAGGCTAAAGTGGAAGGATCACCTGAGCCCAGGAGGTCAGGAGGTTGAGGCTATGGTGAGCTGTGATGTGCCACTGCACTATAGCCTGGGCTACAGAGTGAGACTCTGACTGAAAAAAAAAAAAAGAAAACTTTAAAGAAAGAAAAATACAATGTTATACTTGGTGACCTTCTCCATAACAACTGAGATAACATCCCTGGCTTGAGAAATCTGTGGGATCCTGTCCTGGATGACGGAGGTATGGAGGCCTGTCCCAGGATGGAGGAAGCTACTAAAAAATGATGAGAATAACCACAGCAGCCGCCAGCTGGCAAAGTGGAGAACTTGAGAGCAACACTTTCCTTCTTTCCTTCTCAGTCACATGGAATATGGAGTGGACAAGTTCATCAGGACGGTGGATGGAGACAGTACCCGCAGGTCACAGCAAGAGATCAGTGAGTGGCCGCTGTCAGAACTTATTGAGGATGTCACCCCAGGCCTGGCATTCAAGGCCACCACACTATCTAGTAGATGGCCACTGCATCAGAGTGTGTGAAAAGCCCGTTTCATAGACAGCCAGGAAGGTAGGTCACTGTGAGTAGAGGGCCAAGACTGGAATGGCCTCCTTGTTAGCCAAGTTACCATCTGGGTCCCACATGGGAAGCTCCTGTCCTGGGGACAGATAGGCCCCTGGAGAATGGTCACTTTCATGAGGACTTCATGGTCACTTTCATGAGGTCACTTTCATGAAAGTATAATAATAATAATTACAGAGAGCCTTTACTGAGGCCCTGCTATGGGCAGTTGATGCTGTACTAGGACACTACACGGCTTAGACTCACAGCCACCCTTCAGGAAAGGTTTGCCTCTCTGCTTTTTAACAGAAGGTCAAAGAAAGGCAGAGAGGTCAGGCAATGTACCCAGTGTCACACAGCAAATGGCTGAACCAGCCCTGTCACCCAGGTTTGCCTGTCCTTGCTGCCAGGCCTCCCGTGACGCTGCAACCGCCCTTCCACCCCATGCTAAGCCCAGGGACAGAGGGGCTGGCCAGAGCACCCACCTGGCGGTGCACCACCTTGGCGTGCTTCAGAATGGCGATGATGTCGCCCACCACGGTCACGCCCAGCTCATTCATGATTTCCTTATTGAGATCCAGCAGCATGCTCTTCTGAATTCTGCCAGGAGGATCAGTGTGAGTCCCCACATGGGCCAGAGAAGGTGGGCCAGCCAGTTCCCTGCTGCCCCCGCCCCAGGTTCAGCTGCCTCACCTATTATCCACAAACATCACGGCGTAATTGACAGCAGGTCCTGGAGGAATCCCGGCTTCCTTAAAGAACTGGATCCACTCGGAAGTGGCTGGGGATTGAACAGGGCTCATTATGCACATTATTCTCTTGAGGGAATAGCATTAGCAAAACCACAATAGCAGTGGCTGCCACAAATTAAATGCTCATCACATGCCAGGCCCTGTGTTGAGTGCTCCACATACGACAGAACCAAGCCTTCCAATCTTGTGAGTTAAGCAGTATTAAGAACTCCCCAATTTGCCAATGAGGAAACTGAGGCAGGGAAAGATTGGGCAATTTGCCCCAAGCCACAGTGCCAACAAGGGGCAAAGCTCCCAAACTCTTAACCACGGTCCTTCTCCTTACAGCTTTGCTCTGCCCTGGAGCTCACTCTAAGCATCATTACACACACTTGGCCAATGACAGATTTGGGGGAACTGGGACTCGGGGTTCTCTGACCCGGTCTCCATCAGCCAGCCCAGGGCCAGAGGATAACATGACCCAAGGTAGCTAGTAAAAAGAGTCACAAAGCCTGCCCATGCCCTCAGCAAGCCCCTCCCCCACAGTAGTAGCCCTGCCTCAGAGACATGCACTTTGAAACTCAGGTTTGAATTCTGACTCTGCCATTTCCTGGCTGAGGAATTTTGGGAAAGTTAAGTTTTGGTGCCTTGGTTTCCTCATCTGTGTATTGAGGATAATATATGTCTAACAAGTATTTATTGAGCATGTGGCACAGGACAGGTTCTATTCTAAGCACTGGGGATACCACAGGGCACAAGACAAAGCTCCAGGCCTCATGGAGCTGAGGTGCTAGTGATAACAGCCCCAACATCCCTGAGTCACTACATAGACTCAATGAGAAAATCCACATAAAGGGTTTTATTTTATTTCATTTTAGAGTTGGAGTCTCGCTCTGTTGCCCAGGCTGAAGTGCAGTGGCATGCTTACTGCCACTGCAGCCTCGATTTGCTGGGCTCAGGTGGTTCCTTCCAAGTAGCTGGAACCATAGGCACGCACCACCACACCTGGCTAAATTTTTTTGCTTTCTTGTAGAGTCGAGGTCTTGCCAGTTGCCCAGACTGGTCTCAAACCTCTGGGCTTAGACAATCCTCTCACCTCTGCCTCCCAAAGTGCTAGGATTACAGGCGTGAGCTACTGTGCCTATCCAAATAAAGGGATTTAAATGGTGGCTGGCCCAGAGGACATCCTCATGTCAGCTTTTATTACTATTACTATTGCTACTACTACAACAATCACCACCACCCTACAGAGCCAGGGCGAGACCAGGTAGACCCCACCCATGAAGCTTTATTCCTCCCAAATTTCTCTCTTGGTCTCTTAGATGTGGTCCTCAAACTGACCCTGCCCTGTCAGGCCAGGTGGTAGATAAGATCACTGATTCCAAGTAGAACATTTTTTTCCCCACGTTTTACTATCTCTGAAATTCAGATCTACCTCATAACTGATGGTGTACCACAGTTTAATTTGTAACTTATGTTTTTCTTCCTCATTGTATATAACAGTACATCTGACAATCCATGCTATTTCAGACTAGAAGAACTTTATAGGTTGGGCATGATGGCTCACACCTGTAATCCCAGCACTTTGGAAGCCAAGGCAGATCACTTGAGGCTAAGAGCTCGAGACTAGCATGGGCAACACAGCAAGACCTGACTCTACATAAAATGAAAAAAAAAAAAATAGCCAGGTGTGGCAGCCTATAGTCCCAGCTACTCAGAAGACTGAGGTGGAAGAACTGTCTGAGCCCCAGGAGGTAGAGGCTGCAGTGAGCTGTGATCAAGCCACTGCACTCCAACCTAGGCGACAGAGTGAGACCCCCGATTCAAACAAATAATAAAAAATTTGTTGCCGGGCATGGTGGCTCAAGTCTATAATCCCAGCACTTTGGGAGGTCAAGGTAAGGGGATTGCCTGAGCCCACGAATTTGTGGGCTCTTGGTGAGACCTCATCTTTACAATAAATCAAAAAAATTAGCTGGGCATGGTAGCACATGCCTGTAGTTCCGGCTACTTAGAAGGCTGAGGTGGAAGGAACACCTGAGCCCAGAAGGTCTCTGCTGGGGTGGCCATGAGTGTACCACTGCACTCCAGCCTAGGTGACAGAGTGAGACTCTAACTCAAAAAAAAAAAAAAAAAAAAAGAAGCTTGTTATTTGCCTATTTTGCTTTTAAGAAAATTAAGGCCCAGAGTAGGGAAAGAGACATATTCTGGGTCAGATGTCACATGGGTGACAGTGCATGGTTCAGGCCAAGGCCCATGAGCCACATCTCTCCCAAGGAAACCCCTGCCTGACCAGCCACAGGTCTGTGACCCATGGTGATGACTGGCCCGAGCTCTTGGGGATGAGGCTGGCAAGGAGTGCATGCCTTTGGGACTTCTTCTGCTAGACCAGAGGAGAGAAGAACCAGTTTCCTATTTTGCACAGACACAGTCCACCTGCCAAACCACAGGACCCTGAGTTCTATTAGCCAAAAGCGAGTACTGTACCTCTAAGTAACAAAAAGCACCACATAATGATTCCATTTATATAAAATTTCTAGAACAGGCAAATCTAAAGAGAAAGTAGATTAGTGGTTGCTAGGGGGCGGGAGGATGACTGCTCATGGGTATGGAGTTTTTAGAAAGAGTGATGAAAATGCTTTGAAATTGTGGTGATGGTTGCACAACTCTGTGAACAGAGAACATAAAAATCATTGAACTGTATACAGGTAAAACATTGTATAGCAGGTAAAACATATGGTATATGAATTATATCTCAGTTAAGCTTTTATTGGCCAGGCGCGGTGGCTCACACCTGTATCCCAACATTTGGGGGGGGCCAAAGCAGGAGGATCACTTGAGGCCAGGAGTTTATACCTGCCTGGCAACGTAGTGAGACACATCTCTACTCCACAAAATATTTTTGAAAAAGAGAGAGAGAGAGAGAGAGGGAGAGAGAGAGAGAGAGAATTAGCTATTATTAAGGGGAGAAAAAATATTACCATAAGTTAGGAGTAGCTTTCTACCTGAGACAAATCTTGTGACTTTAACCGCAAGAATACTGGAACCCAGTGTCCAGGGAACTACAAGAGTCCCCACTCTTGGCACACGGCATCATTTCATATATTACTAAGAAGGAAAACATGGAGCCAATTAAAAAGTCATAAGCCACCAGCTGTAAGACATATCCCGTATCAGAATGTTAAGGTGCACAATAATGTATGTCTTACAATCAAAGAAGGGTGGCTTGCTGCACACACTGGGAGATGTACAAGAATATTCATAGCAGCTTGTCTATAATAGCGCCAACCCAGAAACAATGCAATATCCATTGACAGTAGCATTGATAAGCAAATGGTGGTCACCCCATGGTGAAATACTGCACAGCAGTGAAAAGGAAAGAAGTATAGTTAAGGCATGGCAACGTGGGTAGCCCTCAGACATTATGCTGTGCACAAGCAGACAGACACAAAAGAACACACAGCATGGTTTCCTTCAAAGTCTATAGCACAGGAGTGTTTCCACTGGTGATACAACTATAAAGGAAAGATGTTCACAAAAGATAAGAGTGGTTTATTCCATGAGGAGGAGGGAGGGGCATGTAATTGGAGCAGGACCCTCAGAGGGCCGACAATGTTCTACTTTTTTTTTTTTTTTTTTGAGTGGGAGTCTCTGTTGCCTGAGCTAGAGTGCAGTGGCACGCTCATGGCCACCACAGCCTTGACCTGCTGGGCTCAGACGATCCTTTCACTCAGACTTCCAAGTAGCTGGAATTGCAGTCACATGCCACCACGCCCAGCTAATATTTTCATTTAGTGTGGGGATGAGGTCTTGCCAAGTTGCCCAGGCTGGTCTCAAACCTACAGGCTCAGGCAATCCTCTCACCTCAGCCTCTCAAAGTGCTGGGATTATAGGCGTGAGCCACTGTGTCTGGCCTCATGTTCTATTTCTTGACCTAATGGGTAGAGGGAGTTTGTTTGTTTGTTTCCATCTCCTTTGGAACTATAATATACATGCAAAAAAGTACTCAAGTCAGTAGATTTTCCCAAGTCAAACACACCTATGTAACCAGCACCCAAATCAAGAAATAAAATATTTCCAACATCTTAGAACCCCCTTGTATTCTCTTTGTAGTTCTACTTCCTCCTTCCCAAAGCCAACCACCATCTTCTAACAGAACAGATTGGTCTTGCTTGCTTCTGTGGTTTATATAAATGGAATCATAAAGGAGATACTAAGATGCTTGTTCTTTAATTGCTCTTAAAACCACAAATAGGTTTTATGTACTTTTCTACATGTACAATAAATCTCAAAATTTTTCAAAGTCTCCAACTAATCTCTATGCCTTGGCAATCCCAAAATACAGAACTTAAAGAGGACATGGGGATAAGGCCACAAGAGTAGCAACAGTTGACATTTATAGAGAACTAACCCAAGATTTGACATGCTCAAATTGCCTGAAACCCAGGATGTAGGGAGTATCAATATCTCTAAGTCTCAGGCCAGGAAACCAAGGCTCTGAGAGACTAGGCGGGAGGCCTGTTGGACTTCATAACCCAAGTTCTTCATGGCTAGACTGTGCACTCAAGGAGGCCAAACTACAGTGAGGAAGCGGGTAGACCTTGACTGGTCCCGCGCCTGCCCCTGCCCCACCCCCACCCCCACGTTCCTCAGAGTCCAGCTGTTCCTGTCAGTGACCCCAGCCCTCCCTCTCGCATTCTGTCCTCCCCCACCAAGGCCATACCTCAAAAAGGGCAGTGGGGAGAGGGGGCCCTGGAGAGAAGGCCACAGACTCACCCATAGTCACTGAGACCATTGTCTCCCTGGCCCTGACGCTGCTCCCTGGAGCCTGAAAGAGGGAAGGAGAGGAGAGGGCCCATGAGTCGCCGCCGGCTGTGAGTGTATGTCCCTCTCCCTGTGCCTATCTGTCTGCCTGCCAGGGGAGCATTCCTGGGCTGGGGGCTCATCATCCAGGAATAGCCTGGAGCAGCTGGCAGGATGTCAGCCTGGGACAAGCTGCCACAACTATCACTTGTGCCTGGGACAAGGCCCAGGGACAGCAAATGTCCACAGCTCCATTCCCATATCCCCCAAAACGTTGGCCAGATCAGGAGCAGGAGGGAAAAAAGACACCTTCTGCCCAACGCTTTAATGATAAATACAAAAAATTAAATTAAATTTTTAAAAAAACACCAATAAATACCCATTCAGTCATCTATTCCAAAGTTACATACAGAAGAGTACCTACATACCCAGCTAGTCTACAGGGCAAGGCAGGAGGATCCCCTGAGCCCAGGAATTCAAAACTAGACTGGGCAACACAGCGGGATTACATCTGGAAAAAAAACACACAAAAAAAATCTATTTGCTGAGAACCTATTATGTGTGAGGCATTTTCAGATAATGAGGTAAATAAGAACATGGAACTTAGCATCTGATTGGGGACAGAGGAGGGAAGAGACAGAGCAAACAAGCAAAACAGTTAACAACACAGTGTGTCAGGAAGCCTTGAATGTCATGGAAAAAACGTGGAGAGCCTGGGAAGGAAGGTGTTGTAATTCTCAACAGGGTGATCAGGGAAGACCTAAAGTGACATTTAAAGACAGAAAGGACCTTTGGGAGGCTGAGGTGAGTGGATTGCCTGAGCCCGCGGGTTTGAGACCTGCCTGGGCAGGCGAGACTTCATCTCTACAATAAATCAAAAAATTAGCCGGGCGTGGTAGTGTGCGCCTGTAATTCCGGCTACTCGGAAGGCTGAGGCGGAAGGATCACTGGAGCCCAGCAGGTTGAGGCTGCGGTGGCTGGGAGTGGCCACTGCACTCCAGTCTGGGCGACAGAGTGAGACTCCAACTCAAAAAAAAAAAAAAAAAAAAGACAGAAAGGAAGGGAAGGAATAAGCCATGTGGCTTTATAGAGGAAGAGTCTTCCAGGAGAAAGTACAGTAAGTCTGGTGCCCTGAGCCAGAGGCTCCTTCGGCGTGTTGAGGGACAGCAAGGAGCCAGTGTGGCTGCAGTGGAGCAAGCAAGGAGAGCAAGGAGGTAACAGGTCAGAGACAGGGCATGGAGCACTTGCCAGGCCCAGTGGCTGACGCCTGTGATCCCAGCACTTTGGGTGGTGGAGGAGAGAAGAATGCCTGAGCCCGGGGGTTCGAGACCAGGGCAACTTGGTGAAACTTCGTCTCTACAATAAATAAAAAAAATTAGCAGGGTGTAATGGCATGTGCCTGTAGTTCTAGTTTCCTGGCAGGCTGAGGTAGAAGGATCGCCTGAGCACAGCAGATTGAGGTTGCAGTGGCCGTGAGTGTGCCAGTGCACTCCAGCCTGGGCAATGAAGTGAGACTTCTACTCAAAAAAAAGAAAAAAGAGATGGGACACCAGAGAAGACACAGAAAACCAATTTTTACTTAGATAAGATTAGCAGATGCTAGAAAGGTGGTATTAAAGACATATTAGTAGTAGCAGAGACTTTCTCCATTAGTAGCAGTGTTGAAAGGGAACTAAAGAAATAACTCTATTTATTTATACATTTTTAAATTTTTTGTGTGTTTTTTTGAGTTGGAATCTCACTCTGTTGGCTGTTGCACGCTCACAACCACCGCAGTCTTGACCTGCTGGGCTCAGGTGATCCTTCTGCCTCAGCCTTCCAAGTAGCTGGAACTACAGGCACACACCACTACGCCTGGCTAATTTTTTGATTTATTGTAGAGATGAGGTCTCACCAAGTTGCCCAGGCTAGTCTTGAACTCGTGGGCTCAAGCAATCCTCTAACCTTAGCCTCCCAAAGTGCTGGGATTATAGGTGTGAACCACCGTGACTGGTCTTTCTTTTTAATTTTTTTTTCTTTAGAAACAGGGTTTCACTCTGTCACCCAGGCTGGAATGCAGTGGTGCAGGCATAGTGCACTACAGCCCCCAATTCCTGGGCTCAAGTGATCCTCCAACCTTAACTTCCCAAATAGCCAGGATTACAGGCACATGTCACCATATCCAGATAATTTTTTAACTTTTTTTTTGAGTTGGAGTCTCACTCCATCACCCAGGCTGCAGTGCAATGTCACGCTCACAGCCACCCCAGCATTGACTTGTTGGGCTCTGGTGATCCTTCCATCTCAGCCTTTCAAAGTAGCCGGAACTATAGGCGTGCGCTACCACGTCCAGTTAATTTTTTATTTATTGTAGAGATAGGTCTCGCCAAGTTGCCGGCACTGGTCTCGAACCCATGGGCTCAGGCAATCCACCAGCTTCGGCCTCCCAAAGTGCTGGGATTACAGGTTGAGCCACCGAGCCCAGCCAACTTATTTTTTTGTAGAGACAGGGTCTCACTATGTTGCCAGGTAGGTCTCGAACTCCTGGCTTCAAGAGATCCTCCCACCTCAGCCCCCAAGAAAATAACTTTCTCACATGCTGATTCAACGCCATCTGACTCCAGGTCCATTTGGCCCACACTGACCTGGCCTAAATTCCTTCCCACTTGGCCTGCTCTCTTCCCTGACCCAGCTCCTCTACTCCATCTCCTTTGCCCTCTCCCTCACTCTGCCTCCTTCCACCCTCCTTGGCCCCCAATGCCGATCCTTCTTCCTCACCCCTCCTTCATTTTCTCTGTGGGGTGCAGAAGGCCCTCTGCCCTGGCACCTTTCCGTTTACTATCCATACCAACTTCCCTGCCCCCCACCTGATTCTGATGGTATAAGAGTGGTCAAGAATTCTGAAACCAGACTGCAGAGTGCAAAGCATGCTCTACCACTTACTCGCTATGTGGCCGTGGCAAGTTACTTCACCAGTCAGGCTGCCGTGTCCCCATCTGTGAACTGGGATGGTACAAACATTACTTACCTTAGAGGACTGTCATGAGGCCTAGCTGAGTTTCTATGTGTAAAGGCACTTGAGATTGAGTACAGTAGCTCACATCTATAATCCCAGCACTCTGGGAGGCAGAGGTGAGAGGCTTGCCTGAGCCCAGGGGTTAGAGATCAGCCTGGGCAACCTGGCGAGACCTTGTCTCTACAAAAAATTAGCCGGGTGTGGTAGCACGTGCCTGTGGTTCCAGCTGCTTGGAAGGCTGAGGCCAAAGGATCACCTGAGCTCAGCAAGTCGAGGTTGCGGTGGCTGTGATTGTGCCACTGTACTCCAACCTGGGCGAAAGAATGAGACTCTGACTCAAAAATAAATAAATAAATAAAAATAAAGGCACTTGAGACAATGCTTGTTGCATACTAAGGACTCCAGAAGTGTTACACCTGTTGCATCCCCAGGTCTCCCACCGTTGCCCTCCCTCCCTACCTAGGTGCTTTGCTAGCCTCCCAGTTTTTATACCGGGTGTCTCCTGTGCCCGGAATGCCTATTCCTCCTGCCCTCCTTGCAAGCTCTCCTTCCTTCTGCTTGGCTGTCATCTACTTTGTGAAGCTTTCCCTAAGTCTCCACATGTGAGACCCTCTCCTCCACCCTTGGCTATGGCTCATCTTGCCCTTCTCTGGCTTATGCTGAATCTTAGTGATGAACATGACCATGGACATCACTCTGCTCTGCACTTGACACTGTTAGATCCACTTTCCCTTCTGGATTTTACCACACAACAGGCATCTCTCAAAGAGCAGGGTATGGAGAGGTTTCAGTCAGACAGAACAACAACATCTCACATACCAAGCACTAACTATGCACCAGGACCAGGGCCAGGGATCATGCCGATGCCTCACAATAGCCTCATGAGAGAGAACTATTATTAGCCTCATTTTAATTGGTGAAAAAAACAGCTCGTTGAGGTGCAGCCGTGTACCAAATGCCACCATCTATCAACTGACCTTACTGGGATTCAAAAACAAGTTCTCCCTGATTCTGATGATTATGTAGCAATTCCTGTTGAGCTGTTACTATGTGCCAGGAACTGAGTATATACACATCTCAGGGATTCCTCATAACCACCTTGGGAAAAAAGTGAAAATGAGTCCCATGTTATAGATGACAGTGGCAAGTCCATGATCATACAGCAAGTAAGGGCAAGGTCAGGTCTTGAACCCAAGTCAGTCCAATGGCTGTGGTTAGTGCTGATCAAGGGAATACTATGAACCAGGCACTGTGGTCTGCCTTCGCCAAGTCTCAGATAATGCTTACCAGAATCCTTTCAGCACTGGTATTCTCCCACTATTGCTGCAGAATTCTCTGCTGGACTGTTTTCTCTCTCCACAATCTTAAGAGCCCATCTCCAGCGCTGACTTTCTGAATAGCGAAAATTATAATAGTCATTTTAAAAGTTGCAGCTGCCAAAACTCAAGTAATTACCATGTACCAGACTCTGTGTGCTAAGCCCTTTGAAGAGTTGGACCCAAATCCCAGTTTTATCACTTCCTAATCCTGATTCTGGACAAGTGGCTCAAACTTTCTGACTCACTTCCTGCAAATGCACAATGATAATGCTAAGAGTACCTATTCTTAAAGGTGTCATAGGAATTAAATTAGTTAATAAACTCGGGGCTAGTAGAACAATGTGCAACCGGTGACAGGTGTGATGTTAAGTGTGCATTAAACAAATAACTCTTGGTGAGCTAGGGAAAGAGTGGGACAGTCACTGACCTAATGTCAGTTGTATGTAAAGTGTGAGTTGGAAACTGAGTATAAGTAAGACAGCTTAATGGGGTCCATGGGATCTAACAACATGGACTCACATAATACAAGTTATTCTCTTTTCAACTCTTTCCATTTCCGTCTACAATTAATGACCTGTTTGGTTTCCTTTGTATTTTAGGTTAGGTTTTCTATCCTCTCATGGTGAGCAAGGCTGGTTTTCCATTCAGATAGCAATGTAGGCCGGGCGCAGTGGCTCACGCCTGGTAATCCCAGCACTTTAGGAGGCAGAGTTGAGAGGACTGCCTGAGCTCAGGGGTTCAAGATCAGCCCGGGAAATTTGGGAAGACCTCGTCTCTACAATAAATAAAAAATTTGCCAGGCGTAGCGGTGAACACCTGTAGTTCCAGCTACTTGTAAAGCTGAGGCAGAAGAATCACCTGAGCCCAGCAGATTGAGGCTGCGGTGGCCGTGGTCGTGAGCGTGGGACTGCAACCCAGCCTGGGAGACAGAGTGAGACTCTGACTCAAAAAAAAAAAAAAAAAAAAAAAAAGATAGCAATGCAAATTTTCCTTCTCAAATTAATTGACTGGGGAAAAAAATGCACCATTTTCAAGAAAAAGAAAAATCTAATACTACAGGATTCAGCAAAAGTGGCCAAACAGTAAACAGCAAGATGTCGATTTTCCCAGCTCCAGTTCAAAGTTTTACCCACTGCTGTCTCTGGGCTTCCTCCCTCTCTCTACTTCTTTGGAATTTCCAGCAACACCAATGACTTCCAGAATCATCATCATTACAATCCCAACCTATGAGCTCTTACTGTGCCAGGCCCGGTGCCAAAAGCTTTACACACACATTTCGACAGAATCCTCAAAACGACCCTATTTGATTTCGGGACTATTAGCCCTCAGTGCATAAATGGGAAAAAATGAGGCACAGTGGAGCTGGGACTTGAACCAAGATCCGACGGCTCGCAAGCCCAACAATTTTTCCCATCAGGTGCAAATATCATCAATAATCAATAATAGTAGAGCAACGAAGTGAGCACTGTGTGCAGGCGCTGAGCTTAGGGGCTCCGACGTGCACGAGCTGACTTCTCACTCCAACCCATGAAGCCGGCGTCACAGTTGAATTCTGACCCCCATTCTACAGAGGAGGAAACTGAGGCTCAGAGAAACAAATCGTTTGTCCGGAGCCGTACAGCGGAGTCCGGACTGCGTCCAGAGCCCTGGATGCCACCCATACCCACCGTGTCCGGCCCAGTCCCACCACCCCTCGGCCCGCGCCTCACCTGGCCCACCGGGCCCGCAC